GCACATCTCCATTTCTCGAAGCGCAGATGATATAGCGACAAGTTGCTCTATTTGCGCAGGGTCGTGGGATTCAAGGCTCGGGAATCGTGCCAACCATTCCTCCGTCGCTCCGGAATTAGCTAATCGGCAAGGCAAAGCCCACGATTGTTCGCCATCACAGATAGTCGGCTAGGGGTTTGCATATAGACGATAAGTTTCTGAGTAACTCGATAGTGAAGAAAAAAGCAGAAAAAAACATGCCAACTGCCCTAGATAGAACCCCATTTTGATCCCAGTTTGTACGTGCCCAATTAACTCCATCTCCAACATTACGCCCTCATCCGCACAGCTGATTCCCCGATAAGAACTCTACGACCGTACAAGTGACGATTTTCATGCTTTTTCGTCCTGCAATTTCGTTTTTCACTGAAAGCGGGCCTTGGAGGCGGAGTCACTGGGAAAAAGGAGGCGTCACTGAACTTATATTGCGATACAGCGCCCCTCTCTTACAATTTTTTGCCGCGTTGTTCATCGCGGGCCACACTACCCTCCACACCATATTTCCAACTTCTATACCTAATCGTGGACCGTGCCTCCAAGAAGTGATAAAGTCTACGTCTTGATGAATTCCTTTTTGGGATGTGACACAATCTCTACTTCCATTTACAATGCCATTCGCAGTGGCTTATTGAGTACAATGTGCCTATACAATGATTTGTCCCGGCCTGTCGGTGTTCAATACAGTGCTCATACTTGCAGACGAATAGGGAGTTTACGAAAAGGCAATTTACCGTCCCGCAGGGCAGGTTTGGTTAGGCTGGGCGTCAACGTCGATGATGAAAATGCTCAAATCTTGGTTGAATCGTTGCTGTGAAACTCTCGAACAGTTCTTTAGTAATCACTTGGTACATTCTGGTCTCTTAAGGCTTGGAAAACGCCCCTGCCTTAAGAGGATCGAGTCTCTTTATGTTAACGACGGTGGACATAAAGGCGTCCCGTACATCCGCGATATTTGGCTTTAGCTTTAAAGACACATGGTACGCTCAACACATTGAGGTGTATGAAACTATCATATCAGCCCCAGCTGTGCGATGGTGTGCGTGGTCGCCCCCGCACAGATACTGCACGGGTCAGAGTACGGGGCTATGGTAAAGACCGCCAGTGTTAATTCTATGCTGCGCCGCCTGCTTTTGCAAGCCCACGTTTTTACTAACACCGCTCGCGCGGCGCGGTCGCGTGCAGCTCTCTTGGCTTTTTTGCCAAGTCCTGTAATTGGAAATAGACATACTCTTTTGGAATAGAAGTACAACGCAACTTCTTTATGCGGGTAACGTTTTAGGTTCTGCAAAATATGAACTGAAGATGATCACGAGGGCTAGAACTCAAACCCGCAACTGTGCGCTTCCTGGCCAACAGCCTCGGCGACGGCCGCGCATTCCCACCAAAGAACATCAAAAAAAAACGACCTAAGCATCCACTCGTTAGTTTGAAGTATTTCTGACTGGAGCTGGGATTCGCGCCGGATCGCAGAAATTTACACGCGATTTTGATTGATTTGCGTTTCCTTAGTTTTTTTTCAATTTTTGTTTTATTTACATCTACATTCGTTGTTCTTCATTTCTAGCCTTTGTCATCTTCATCACCTTCTATTCGGACTTTGAAGCATGAGCAATACCTCAAATGTCTAGGACGGTTTGCGTTTTGCTTGTACTATCGACTGTTTCTCGATTGTCATGTTGTCCGTTTTTATTGTCGTGTTACTCGTGGGCAATTGCGCGCCTCTGAGGATATTGGCAGAGAACCACGTTGCTCTTGAGTTCTAGCCTTGTCATCATCTTCGGTTCTTATTTTGCAGCACCTAAAATGTTATCCGCATAAAGAAATTGCGACTTGTATTCCAAAGCGCAATTACAGGACTTGGCAAAAAGCCAAGAGAGCTGCACGCGACCGCGCCGCGCGGATGGTGTTAGCATAGCTGAGTTGCGGGGTCGCTGGTGTAGCAAGGAATTACGACTTTCCCACGGCCCCGTACTCTGACCCCGTGCAGTTTTGGGCGGGGGGACCACGACACATCGACAGCTGGGGGCTGATAGTCTCATACACCCTCAATGTTTGGGCGTACCATGTGTCTTTAAGCGCGTGTGGACGTAATCGATCGTTTCGAAATCCTTCTTGCTCCTGTGGCTGTCCTTCATCTGATGTCCTGCCAATCGTGTTCAGGATGACTCCTGTGAGGTCGTAGGTCTACGAGCCAGCGAAATTCTTCACGGAGTTCGCTTTTCTTAACTTACAGTGAGCTTCCATGAGTAGTACGCTGCCTGTAACTTCAGAACTTGGTTGGAAGGCTCACCGGACCATGAATAGGCTCAGTTTCGAATATTTCCAACCACCGAGCCAATCGTCATTCAATCCGTGGGTCCTGTTGGGGTATGGTATCTTATTTCCTACGTATTGGTGTAGGGTCGAAGGACTGGGGGGACTTTAGATGCTTGTTTGGATATTGCTATTTGACCCAACCCTTTCAAGCCCAAAGGCGAAATTCCGCCGGGAAACCTCTACTAAGTAGAGGTGCTGTAACAAACTCATGGGCGCGTTTAAAAGCTTTCCATAAACAATATTGAATGTTTTTAGCTAAAAAGATTATGTTCTAGAAGTACCCAATGGACGAGCAGAACTTGTGATATGCTTTTAGCATCATATGCGTTCACCACCGACGATATCGGTTCGTGCCACCCGTCAATACTAGTTGTTGCCTGGTTGTATCGTGGCCAAATTTCCTAATAAAAAACTCTTCAGTGTATCGATGGGATGCTATGACCAGATATTCCGGACCGAGTATCATGCGCACTACTGAACCATTCCTTTGCGGGCCGAATACTTTCACTGCGCAGCAGCAAGAACTGGCGGAGTGCAACAGGCCAACGACGAACCCCTGGAGAGTATTTCATGCCTTTAAACGGATTGTCACATTGAATGAAACGTAAGTTTACGGTGGTTAGTGCGGTATTTTTTGAATGCTAAGCTTCTGGTGTAGATCATTCTTGCGAAATGTGAACATCATAAAACACCCTGACGTGCATCGAATATATAACCCATCATACCTGTCAAGCTCATCTGCAGTGTTTCAACTGAAAAGCCGGGTCTCATTGAAAAAACTCTCTTTTTAGAAAACAGCCGATTTTCGCTGCAACCAGATGGCGCCTTCTGTTCTTGCTCTGCTTGCTCTTTTAACTTTTTGTGAAAGACGCTACATGAGGCGTACATGGCGGTTGTGGAAACAGCATAGGGAGTCGTACTGTGTCACTGGGGAAGGGAAGGGGGTCGTATTTGGTCGTGGTTGGAAGAAGAGGGGGGTATCGTATGTGGCTTTGAGAGAAGTTTGCCGCGTTGGGAAAAAAATTTTTCTCGGTCCGGTTGTTTGACTTTTCGTGATTTTTCCTGTCTTATGTGCACTATAATACCTTTCCCCCGCGCTCGACAGCAAAATTTTGAGGAAAAGTAGGAAAATTTTTGGTAAATTCCAGAAAAAGTGGTAGGAAGTTGGGGGAATGTAAGAAATTCTTCCCGTTTCACATTGGCTATATACCTCTCCTCTCCCCTCCCTTGCTCGGCGGAAAATCTTTGGGTAAAAACTGGAAAAGGTTGGGAAAAAGAGGAGATGTGGGTGATGGGGAAAGGGGGGGGGTCGTACTGACACCACCATTTCACGATGCTGTACCTTGACCGTATATAACCATAGCCTTCTTTCTGCAGAAACAAGGCCGTCGGACTGGCTCCATTTTGCTGGGTGTTGCTTAGGACACCCGAGACACAGCGAGCGCGGCGAAACAGGCATTGCATAAAGATGTCTTTTGCACTAAGACCCATTTGGTTGAATGTAGCAATGCTCTGGCGTGTCAGTTCGACTAGCTATGGAATATCCTACCAATCTTGTATATGTATTTTCTCATGTAACACTAAGTGCTCAGGTTCTACTTGGCTCAAATCTATCTCCCTTCAACACTCTTGGTCGTCGTGTCATGGGTCTCGTTCTGGTTGGAACGGACGGCAGTGCCTGCAAGGGTTACACTAGGAGTTACTACACTTCTCACAATGACAACGCAGGTAGGAAGCTGAAATGAAATGGAAGAGAGGGCTGCATGTAGCACTCTCTACCTCTACAGTTACTTTTTTTTAAATAACAACCTTTACAAACAGCAGCAGACAGCTGAGAAAGGCAATCACCTCTGCCCACAAGGGCACGTTATACGTTAGGCATCCCAGCATTTGGTCACTGGAGAGTAAGGGGCCTCTGAGAGAAATGTTTCCGGTCGTTCACTTTTCTCAGTTTCTCGTTTTTACCTGTGCTGCTGTTCTCCTTTGCTCAACGACAGTTTCTGGGAAGGACCTGGAAAAGTAGGAGGAAGTTGGGAAGTAGGATGAGGGATAGGGGAGAAGGGGTGTCGTACCAGAGAGAGGATTTCAGCCAGAGCACGCCCTACCGGTAAGGCGTGCTCTGGCTGACAACCTGCCCAACCAACGGCTAGGGGTCTGACTAGAAGAACAAGTACCGAAACGACTCTGAAAAGTAGGCTGTGAATATGTCGATGCTTCTAGGCTGCTGCGATTAACAACAGTCCTTCCTCCGGTATCTTATATTAAAGCGGTAGATGTTTGGATTGGAGTCTGTCTTGCGTTCATTTTCGCAGCAGTCCTCGAATTT